CCATGACTTTACTAGCCTTGGGAAGTTAGCTAGATTTCTAGTACTTGGCCTATTTTCCCTCCTGTGGAGTGGAAATGACAATTTTTAAGACACTGCCATCAAGCAATAAAAACTGATTCCTGAAAGACAGGTAACAAGTGAGCCTATGATTGTTCAAGTTACTGTACTATATTATACCTCATATGTCTATGAAGAAGGTTCTTGAGGCTGAGGAGTCAACCCCAAAGGAATTTAGGGAACAGTATAAAACCTCGAGCTCCTGTAGACTAAGAATATGATCTTAGCCAACCAGACAGAATAGAAAACTAATTACCAAGTATCTGGTAGAACATCTCTGACATTTTTGTGTGTATGCCTAGGTGTTCATTTGGGTCATTGCTTTTCTCTTCCATATCTTTACTAATATATATAGTCTTTCTCTTGTCTTCTAGAAGATATGAAATATGTATATAATAACTTTAGTGTTTTAACTTTAGTTTCCTGTCAACTATCAATTCTAGGTTGGTTTTGATTGATTTTCTCTCATTAAGGCTCTAGAAATTGTCTTTATAATTTTTAAAAAATTTGCTTAGTAATCAGTTGATGCTTAATATGCATTAAAAAGGAGATTATAAATTTTACTTTGTGGGATGTTAAATAATTCCGTACTCCTATAAATACTCCTGAGTTTTTCTGGGATGTATTCACATTATTTGGAATTTCCTTTCTTGGTTCCTGCTTTTAGTCTTTGTTTATGGGGGTGTCATGTGATCTACGGCCTGCTTCACACCAAGCCACATCCCTTCTGAACACCACATGCCTGGGAAGCATGAGGTTTCCCCTTTTCGGTTGATGGTTACCGGTGTTAGACTGAAGATTAGATTATCTATCCTTCAATGCTTACTTTTAAAGAACTCTCAGTGTTGTTAGAGAACAGTCTTTATTTTGGGCCATTTTATTCAATGTATCACTAAACCCTCTGTCTTTGCTTGATAGAACTCTCAATTGACAAATGCCAAATTTGTTTTTTATTCCCTTGATTAATGGACACATGCCTAAATGTGTGTGGATTACTATTAAGTCTGAGATGCAAATGGACCCCAGTATAGAAATGTAGCCTTTGTCTGTCTGTAAAGCTCTTTGTTTTCCAGTATCTATTCTGGAATCCTTGCCATTTCGTTACAGTGAACTTGGACCTTTGCTTCTTAAGAGTCAGCACAGCTCCTGTTTTCTGTTTGAGTCTGTCTGCAGTGGTGGGTAGAACACGGCTCTCAATGTAAAGACAAAGTGCTTGTAGACACTTTCTGGTTGTTTCAAGTTTTCAAGCAATACAGATCACACTCATTTTTGTTCAAGATCTGGAAAGTGGCGCGCGCGCGCACACACACACGCACACACACACACACAACTTTGCAGTTGTTTACCATCAGAAGGTAAATCTGGTAAATCTGGTCATTTCACAGTGGCAGTAGATGTAAGTTCTACACATTTCATTTATTGTGGAAAGTTGGCAAAAGCTTTTAGGTGAAGTTTCGGGAAAGAACTGTAGTGAATCTCGGTAGATTTTAGATTTCATGTTTATGTATCGGTTGTACATTTATGATCTTTTCAGAGTTCCTGTCGGTCCCCTTCAAATGGATTCAGATGAGATGAGATAATGTAAATAGCAATGCACTGCACAAAAGGATTTATGTTAACGGCAGTTTATTGAAGGTTCTCATAGCCTGCTATCCCTCAGAACTTGAAGTGGTACTCTTGGAAATTAAAGTAATTGGGCTCTTGATTGTACAGGAGGTAAAGGGATGGTGCTTCTTCCAATTAATCAGTTTCCATGGGTTTCAGTGTCACTGGAGGAAAAACCACTTCTGATAGTAAATGTCAATCCTACTTCTCACAATTAAATGTCATTTCAAGAATAATCACATCTTAACACAAGAGTAGGACTACTGAGAGAAAGATATTGCCACAGAGTGTAGTGTTACTGGGTTTTTGTACTAAGTGACGTATACATATATATGCAGTGAATATTCGTTAAAACCATTCCACTCGTCTATGAATCATACTTACTCCTTACTTATGTCAAACATGGTAATAGGTGATGGAGAGCCAGCAACCAAGAAGTAGGATAGAGGTTCCCTCATTAGAAGGTTCTATAAGATTATACATGCATCATGTATATGAAGTACATGTACAGGACTATGGCAGAAATAGTCTAGCAAAGATTAATTGAATATAGAATTCTTAAAACAGTTTTAAAAAGCTTACTTATATAGTTTAATTGACAAAGAATGAAAAAAAAAAAAGGAGTGTTCAGAAGAGTTGTGGCTCACCAGTGAAGCCAACCTTAGATCATCATATGATCCCTCTAAAGAAAGACTAAAAGCAGTACCCGGAAAAGAAAATTCAAAAAAAAGGGGGGGGGGTGAAATTCCAGAAACACTCAGTATTTTTTTTTTTTTTTTTTTTTGGTTTTTCGAGACAGGGTTTCTCTGTGTAGTTTTGTGCCTTTCCTGGAACTCGCTTGGTAGTCCAGGCTGGCCTCGAACTCACAGAGATCCGCCTGCCTCTGCCTCCCGAGTGCTGGGATTAAAGGCATGCGCCACCACCGCCCGGCTCTAACACTCAGTATTTATAGGAGTATGAAATTACTTAACAGTCAACAAAGTAAAATTTACAGTATCTTCTTTTATATGCCAAGAAGGTTCACTGAATGATGGCAGCTGGGAATAATAAAATGATTCTGTGGAAAGCAAGCAGATTAAATTAGTTTGAGTGGAAGTTTGTGTAGGAGGAGGGAGAAACAAAGATGTAGAAGTAGTTGAGGTTTTGAGGATGTACATTTTGAACTGTAGACTGGGAAGAGGGATATTTGTGACTGGGAAGGAGCTGTTGTGGGGCTGACTTGTTTTTTGGGATGGGATATGAGACAAATTAAGACAATGAGTACAACTGGGTTTTATAATTTGCAGAATGAAAACTCAATTCCTTCTTGGCATTTGGAAAATGATGGTTGCAGAATTAGTTAATACAGAATACAAACATTTCCTTATGACTGCCACAAGGAAGTAAATAAAAAAGCATAATGATGCTAAGTGAAAGTTGAGGAGGTGAATTAATTTAGTTTTTTTTTTTTTATTTCAGGTTGCTGTTCTGGCTTAGGCTGTCTATGACCCTCGTGGTGTTTTCATTCAAGATTAAATCCTTTTCATCTTTATTGATTAACTGAGCAAATTCAGGTTAGTATATTTTTGTGACTAGCACTTCCCTGTTTCTATTTTAATATTTTGGGACATTGGTGATTTTGTTTTTAAAGCTACATGGGTATGTACCAGTAGTAGGAAGGCCAAGTTAGCCCAAGCTCCAGTGAATTATGCATTATTAGTTGGGAAATGTTTTCTGCCTGCCTACCAAGTATAATCTGTCCTTCATAAACTCATAAGCAAGTTACTTTTTAATGGCTTTGACTTTCAAGTTTTGAACTCAGTAAAACAAGTTGTGTCTACGTTTTCTATATTGAACTTTGGTAATTGTTGTGTGGCATAGTTGATAATGAAAATAAACTCACCTACGAACTTCTGATGTCTCAAAACTGTCTACACATGAACATTAAGTCATACTTGAACATCTCTGCTTTAATGTTAATGCTAAGAGTCCTGGCATCCGTTGTCATCACCACAGTGAAAACAGGTCCACAAGTTTCTAGCTTCACCCATGTTCCGTTGTAGTTAGCCTCCATCCTTTCACCACAGTCTCGGCAGTGTGGATCTGTTTCCTGCCTGTAGATCTGTTTTACCTTTCCCAGTATGTACTTAAATTGGCTGTCTAGTATTCAGCCTTTGGAGTCTGCTTCTTTGATAATATAATGCATTTGTATGCTATTCATGGTCCTGGGTATAGTAGTTGCTTCTCAGTTGTGTAGTAGTATTCACTGTGTGGGTTCACCACAATTAGTTTATCTATTACTAGTTGATGGGCATTTGGGTTATTTCAAGTTTGTGTTGATAGTAAAACTTTCAGAGTCATGCGTTTAAAAAGATAACATGACTTCATATTCTTTTTTAAAATAAATAACTTTTTGTTGTTAAAAGAGACCATATTGATTCAACTGTCAACTTTTTTGGTGGGGGCTAGGATTGCTTTTTTTTTTTAAACCTTTCCCCCCTGGAGTGCTGGATACTGAATTAGTAGCTTGTACATGCTAGGCAAAGGCTTGGCCTAGCCTCCTTTTGTTTTTTTTTTTTTTTTTTTTTTTTTTTTTTTTTTTTGTGACAGGGATTTGTTATATGGATCAAACTGGCCTTTAAGCTTAGTTTTCCTGCCTCCACCTTCTAATTGCTAGGATTAGATGCATCATCACCATGCCTGGCACTGAAAATGTTATTAAAAAGAAATTAGAAAGAAATCTAACAGACATTGGGCAGGGGATTATGGTCATTTGTGGAAGTAAGAGAAGCGGTGCACAGTTATTAGAAGGAGAAGTAGGCTGTCATGGAGCTTGCAGTGTTTCCTCATGTTGAGCATAGTGTTAGATCAGACATGTATAGGCAGAATAAGCCTAAAGTTACCAGTTTATAAAAGTCAAATAATAAGCAATTCCTGATTTTAAAATTTTAGTTAAACAGGACTTCTGTTTAGCATAGAAAAGTTAATTAGAATTTTCCTGAATGAACATTTGAGCTAAATTAATAATCTCAAAAGTAGCTTGAAAAGCTATTTGAATATTTTAAGGAAGTTGTTCATTATTTGCTGTAGAAATAAAAAGACCCTGAGAAAATGTAGTGTTCTGAGTCAGAGAATGCTAATGTTGCTTGGTAGAGATTCCTGCTATTATACTGGGCACTGTAAATGCCACTGTTTTCATTCCTGAATATTTTTAGATGAATTTTGTACCTTTCATAGACGCTCAGTAGACATATGGCAGTATTAGTTTTAGTGTGTTATCAGAGAATGTTTCTTTTTTCCTTTTTAGAGAGTAGGTGTATACATGCGTACGTGCGTGCGTGCGTGCGTGCGTGCATGTGTGTGTGTGTGTGTGTGTGTGTGTGTGTGCCATTTATGCCACTGTGGGAGTGTAGAGGTCAGAGGACACCTTGAGGGAGGAGCTGGCATTCTCCTTTTACTGTGTGGGTCCTGGGGGTTGAGCTCAGGTTATCAGGCTTGACAACAAGCGCCTTTACTTAGCCATCTTGCTGGCCCATCAAGGAGCATGTTTTAAATAAGTGCATTAGAGCACTTTAGAGATTCTTTTGACATAGAGTACAGCTTGATCATCTTGAAAATCTGAAATTCAGTATTCTAAAATTGAAAAACAGCATGACAGTATAAGTGAAAAATTCCACACCTCACTTCATGTGACAGGTCAAATAAAAACAGACATATTAAAATATTAATACAATTACTTTTATGCTATATAAAGGTCTGTATGAGATATAAATTAATTCTGCATTTAGATTAATTTCATTTCCAAGATAGCTCATGATGTCTATGATCCCCTCTCCTCCAGAATCATTACTTGGCTCTGGGTGAGATTAAGGCTACACTACTTGTTTAATGTTTCTAAAACTCAATTTTAATTTATTTTCTTTCCAGTTGATTTTAAGATAATATAGACCATTTATAAATAATTTGAGATATGATCTTATTTTGCAAACAAATAAAATGGGGATATTGAATATATAGCTGGAAAATGTAATAATTATATTTTGCTTTACAATCTCAAAACATTTTTGAGATTTATTTAAATTTTATAGAATTTAAATCCCTTTCACAAGTATGTTACTTTTAATTTTTAAAAGTTCCTTAAAATGATGTCATTTAAAACTAATTCTAGTTTTTTAGAGTTCCTTAAAATGCTGTTATTTCTGTTCTTCAGAATTTCATTTATAAAAATATTGATAGATAATAATTGGTAGGATTCAGAATTCCCAGTTTCTTTTATTTGGTGAATGCTATCAAGCCTAGCTAATCAAAAGCTAAATGTCTGAGATACTACTCGAAGTACAAAAACAAAATTTACACAAAAGGAGTATTTACTTCTCAGTATTTGGTGTATAAGAACATTACAAAATTGTGACTAAAGTTGTTTATGCAAATTTTTGAGAGAAGAAATTAAACATTTTTGCTTAATTTTTTTCTATCACTAGAAATATTTCATTGTGCAATATCAACTTCATTTTGAATATCTAAAGGTTTTTTTTTTTTTTTAAACTTTTAGGACAATAATTATTAGAAAACATTTCTCTTGTGTCTTAGGTTTTTGACTTGTTTTTGCACAGTTTATCAGAGTATTGACAGCATTTTAAAGTAGTCATCGTTTCTAAGGAAAGCCATGTAACCACCTAGAAGAGTAGAAATGCCCCTCTGTCAGGACAGAGGGCAAGTTTCTTTGCTGTCTGCGATGAACTCAGGATAATTCTTCTGGAGAGAAGTTAGGCCTTCTGTATCCTATTGATAGAACGAAGCGGAGTTTGTTGCTCATTGAAGTAGAGAGGGTATCCTGTCTTCGTTTTCTTGTTGCTGTTTCTGGAGAAAACAGGGTTTATTTGGCTTATGGTTCCAGGTATAACCCACCATGTTGGGGGATCCCGGTGGCAGGAGTGTGAAGCAGCTGCTCACGTCGCCTTCAAAATCAGAAGGAAGGCAGAGTGATGAATGCACACTGTTGCCCAACTCCGCTTTTCCCTTTGTGCAGTCAAGAATCCAGTCCGGGACACGGTCCCACCATAGTAAGAAAGGTTCCCACCTCAATTAGTGATTAAATATAATCCCTCACAGACATTCTCTGAGGCCTGTGTGCCCGGAAGATTCCAGATTCTGTGAAGTTGACAACACTGACTGTCGCATGCCGTGACAGAGATTCACTGATGTTGGAAAGGAGCAAAGTCAGGGCCAAAGTTTGGGAATTTGAAATTTGTTTAACTTTGCCCTTTCAGTGGTGGTGAGTGGGCGTGATTGGGATTGAGTAGTAATGTGAGAGTGTAAACAGTGAGGCGAGGGTTTTGAAAACTGTTGAGTTTTTGATTGAATAGTTGATTGGATACAGTTTGAGTGTATCTTGCCCAAAGGGTTCCATGTTGGTCCTGTGTATGGTGGTTGTAATAGTTACTTTTGCTTCTCTGTGACCAAATGCTTGCTATGAATAATTTCAAGAGGAAAAGATAACATTTTGGCTCATTGTTGCAGAAAGTTTAGTCCATATATTTCTGGCCTTCTGTGCTTTGAGCAGAACATCATAGTAGCAGGAATGTATAGCAGAGACCCTACTTCTTCTCACAGTGGACAGAAATCAGAGAGCCGGGGGGGAGGTGGGGGGGAGGGACAAAGTGCCCCTAAGAACCCTTCTCCATTGACTGATTTCTTCTAGCTAAGCCTCCTAGAGGCCTGTAGTTAGACAGGCAGTCAGGATGGGGTCCTGATCCTGAAGGCTTCCACTGATGATAGCTAAGTGCTGAGTGCAACCAAAGACATCTGGTTTCTAAAACCACCAGGGACAAGCAACCAACAGTGTGCTAATAGTCGACTGATGGCTTGCTTCCCTGCAAGTTCTCCTTCCCTTTATAAGTTCTTTGTAAAGCTCCAAGTAAGAGCCAGCTAGAAGCAACCCATTCTTGGGACTCTTTCTCTCTTGGGAGGGAGCTCTGGTAAGTTTGATGTGAGTCAGGTACTCAGTAAACTACTTTTGCTTTTGCACTTAGCTGTTTGTGAGTTTCATTCATTGGACTCATGAGACACAACTCCACTGTTGGAAGTTTTGGTGACTATTTATAATCAGGACCTTTGCACCAATACCAAGCCTTCCCGAGTCTTTTGACCAAATCCTATCCTACTCATGTAAACCATCTGTGGTTTACTATCTCTTGAATTTTGCAGAACCTCCCAAATTAGCACGATCAGTCAGAGACTAAGTATTCAATATACAAACTTGTGGGAGATATTTGATCACTAAACCTTAACGGTGGGGTTGAGGTGGGGCCTTTAAGTGATAGAGCCTAGTGGGAGGTCCTTAGGTCATTTTGGATTTTAATAAAGTCTGTGAGTAAGGTTACCTGAGAGGGTTGTTAGAAACAGAGCTCTCCCTTTCTTGTGGCTGCCTGTCTGGTCATGTGATTGCTCCCTTTCACAACCACTCTGCCCTGACGATACCTTCTGTCCTGGGGTCCTTGCCAGAGCTGGTTCTATGCTGTATGGACCTTCAGGATCCCACACTGTAAAGGAAACACTCCTCCTTTCTTTCTAA